ATATTGGGAAAATATGCAAAAACCTCAGGGGCATATTTGGGCCTCCCCCCTCCCCTCCCCTCCCCTCCCCTCCCCTCCCCTCCCCTCTCCCCTCCACTCCCCTCCCTTCCCCTCCCTCCCCTCTCACCCCCGACCCCCCTTTCCCCCCCACTCACCATGATGTTGTTTTCATGTTCTGGGCAGGAGGTGGCTACTGGCAGCCATTGCCGCAGCTACAACAAAGCACGGACGTTGAGCCTAGTTACGGCACCTACAAAGCTCTACACACATTTAGCATCGGCGCCAGCGCTCCAACAAGAGTCTTCAGAACACGTTGGCATCGATGCCGGCCCTCAACAGCATATTGGGAAAATATTGGCCCTGCAATCGCCTCCCAAAAAAGATTGAGAAAATATGCACAATCCAGATTGGAAAAATAGTGGTAAAATATGCACACGACCTCTGAAATCCACCCCCCTCTGTCTGCCTAATGCGTGATCATAATTCTAGTGAGCTCCAAGGATCGCAAGCTTATCAACCTGCGAGATATTCGTTCCTGTGACAGCTGAACCGGCCAGCCCTGCGAGCCTACACAAGTATCTGCACCGAATTTGCGTGGCAGCACAACCCATGCTAGCAGGACTGAAGTTGCAGACCACACAAGGGCTTCTCATCCTCGAGCACCCCAGCATCGCGTCCAGTCCACTTCAGGTCTCCATGCCGGCTGCTGCCCATGACGATTGAACAACAAGATTTAACATCAGCGAACCAGGTTGCCAGCGCGCCATGATCACAACTGACTCTACCCCTTACCACACGAAGGGGATTGTATCGGGGGCAAGCTTTGCATGTTTTATGCGCACGCAAAGTGTACAAGAAATCTCCGAGCCAGATGCTGCTGAGACACCAGTGGGGGCAGGCTGGAGGCTGCCAGGGCAACGGCCACGGCGTGACGCTTCTTGGTCACGTTCACCTTGAATGATGACATCCCAAAGTTACAAAGTTTTGCTGCGTTTTTTGTGAGAGCTGGGGCAGCTAGGGGTCTGGGGTGGGAATTTGGGATTCGGGGCGATCGTTGTTTCAGTTTGCGTGTCCTGGACCGGTGCCTGGTAACCCTCGATCTTAGCCTCGGGATACCTTCGAGGTGCAGCGCTTCTATTAAAGTGCAGCTGAAGGAGTGGAGCTCGGAGTGCAATGGAAGTTTAGGTTACGCCTTGTCTGGCATTTTCATACACGGTTTATGGAAACCATGCGTCCAAAAGGAATGAGTCATTTATTAAGCCCAGGAAATGAGCTTCGGTACCTGGAGCGCAACCATTATCCGACCCACGTCACTCGGCGGTGCCAGCGGCGCCAGATGCGTGTCGGGTTGAACATGCCGCCGCCACGGGCCTGTTAGGAGCAATGGCTGCAGGCAGTGTGTGTGTGTGTGGGTGGGTGGCTTAGGTTTGGCATCTTTCTGCCGCATATAAGCTGCACACAAGCAATCCTGAGACTACAATCACACCTGGCTCAGAGCTGCGTGCTGGTCCAGTCCACTACAGTACCCCTAGCCCTCAAAGCAGAACTACTCTAGCCCCTATCCAAAGAGGGTTGTTTCAACAACGGAATCAGAGCGCCAAAGCTAATGCCGTCCAAACCCAGATGTGCCTGGATGTAAACTTACACCGAACCGTCGTGATCCCTGGCGTCTAGAGCTTGCTGACTTTATCCTCTGGCCCCGGCTCCAGAGAGGATTTGGTAATTTTGAAGCTGAGGAAGCCCTGACTTTCTGTTTCCTAAAGGGAAACATCCCCTCGAAATCAGCCACAGCACTTTGGGTCTCCCGGTGAGGGCGCCTGGTTGCCAAAAGCAGCCTGGCCTGCACGATGAGTGCCGCCACCAGGGGCACGAGGGATACCTGCACGGCTTTTCCAGGGTTCAGCGCCAAGGTCGTACCGTAACCAATCGTCAATAGCCCAAGTCATCACTTCCTACTGCTTATCAAGCCTCACACAACTCTCAACTTCATTCACATCGCAATTTTCCCAAACCCAACCCTCAAGACAAGCTTGCTGAGGCCAGCAAGCTTGAAGCACGGCCTTGAAATCAACAAGCCATCATCCTCTGAAGCTGCGTAAGGCTTCCATCCCTATATTGGACCTTGAAGGCATGGAATGCTCCCCCTGAGCCGGTCTTCGAATCCATGAAGCCCTCTACAGCCACTGGGAAGAAATACGAAGAAGTTTCAACCCTTCTTACGTGAACCCAACCAAGCACTTGTGGCAGTATAACTCTCCGGTTCTACTGCTTTCATTCTGCTCTAGTACTTCTGCTAAGAGTACTCAATGACAATATCTATCCCCCCATCTGACTCGACCATCGATCTATCTCCTTCGATTGGAGCAAAGTATTCGCTTCATGTTGACGAGTTACGTGCAACAGCACGGCCCGTGCACCAAGACTCGGCGGCGGTGTCGTAGCCTGCCTGTGGGCACCGTGCGATGTGCCCATGGTAAGGGATCGACTTTTCAGAGTTCACAGCAGGTCACAAGCCACAAGGAGCCTGGGACCTCGAGTTTCGGAAATTGGGCGTGTCAGGCACTGGGCTTCCAGCCACCTCAACTTCCCAAACCTACAATTTGGAGCGCCGGTGCTGGACCTGACCTGCAAACCTGGAACCCCTTTCGTCAAATCTTGCACCTCCATCTAGACAGGCTAGACATCTCACAAAATGAGATTCGAAACCTTTCGACGGGGCGCGCTTGGAGGAATGTGCCCTCCACCAAAGAACAAGAAAACCAAATTGTGGGTTTGGGCTCGTGGTTGGGCTTCAGCATTAACTTTAAAGGCCACAGGCTGGACCTGCACCTTGCCACCCACAGCTCTACGAATCCGGCCTTAGCGCTGACGGCGTATGCCTGACGCTTGTTCTTTGCCATGTCGCGGTGGACCTCGCAGCTTGAAAGGCGCGGTTCAACGTGCAACTTGGAGTTCGGGCTCTTGCTGAGCGAGATAAAGCACTGATGCGGTATCCCTCTATGAATTTCTGTTGGCAACATCTCGAGGTAGGCGTTCGAAGGAAAGGGTTCTCTCTGACAGATTCGCGACACCTTTGCCATCCAATCGACCCCAAAGCTTCAAGCAAAAGGAGTGATAGCACAACAGAAGGGCCAACGTGATACCAACCATGAAAGGAAGATGTTTCATTCCAAAGCTGCAACACCCTTTTTACCTGAAGGGAGCCACGGCTTGTCTACCGCTGTTTGGCAAACCCATGCCGATGCCAACTCCAAGTAAGACACCGAGCCCATTCTGCTGTGGGAATACTCGCTCTGAGCATGGAGGATTCTCGGTGAACCCCGCTGAATCTACTACGAACCAGTCCGAGCAAGGGGGATTGCAAAGCAGCACACCCTGCAAAGATCCGGCTGAAGCCTCTCGGACCAGGTCAGGCCGCAATGGGGAAGTCCTGAGCAGAATATGCAACATGACTTGCAGCATAACTGCGAGAGATGCCGGTTTACATGGGCTCCGCTTTGAAAAGGCTGAGGCGAAGAGCGTCTAATGAGTCTATGGGCTTGAAGCTTAAGGGCTCAAACCTGAACATTTAAAGATCCGAAGACACATGGAGGCTTACGAGCGATCTTCAGGAGGGCGTGGGACCTTGAGCCCGCGACCTGACTCGCGAAACATGCAATGCAAGCTTCAATCCTGGAACCTGCTGAAAACTGTGTGAATCCCTGAACCCGAGTGCTACAAAATCCAGGTCCTGAACTCGAAACTTGTCGATTGGTAATTGAAGGGCTCGGGTGCGTTCGGGCTTGAGAGTCTGGACAATCAATTTCTTGCGGCCTTTCTCCAAAGATCTGAAACAGAGCAAGCGTCAGCACATGGGGCATCACGACGGTGCCCGCCTGTCCGGACTATCTTTTACATTAAAAAGCTGAAATAAGGAGGTTCGGGAGGGTTGAACTGGGGGCTAACAGGGAGCATGAAACATGAGGAGCGGAGAAGCCACATCGGTTAAAAGAACTCTCTCACCAAGAGTGTGATAACGCCTTAAAGAACCCCAGTCACTACCACCATGTTCAAACCACATGACTAAACCAAATCCTTCGAGCCTCCAGACAGTAGTTTCGCAGAAGCAGAATCTCCCTCACCCCCCCCGGAAGCATAAGTGCAACCCCAGGCCAGAGCCTTAAGCCCATCACAGCGATACCGTACCTGCCAACCATCTAAACTCCAGGCGTTCGTCATTCTTACCTATTTCAATACTATCGTACAATTGCTCAGCACTTCCCAGAGCCCGAACTCTTTGAGTGCCTTTTCGGAAGGGTTCTCAAAGTTGAAGACGGACACGAGCGGCCTGGCATGTTAAGAGAGGATACGGCCTTGGGCCTTCGAGACGCGTAATGTTGGGTGCTTGTTGAATTGAAAACAGGGGGGTCTTCGCTGGTAACTGTCATGCTGAGGCTTGTGCCTTAGCTCACTTCGGGCGCTTCACGGCTTCGCCCTGTCGGGCTGCGCACCTTCACTTCCCAGCCTCGGGTTGACCTCAACCCCTGAAGCATCAGCTGAGCAAGGATGGCTCCCACGTCAAACTCCTTAATGGAGGAATATTGAGCTGCACAGGTTTTTGTTCTGCTTTGCCGTGTTGCGGGCTCGGGCGTGAAGCCGTCTTCACGGTGGTGCTATAGACTTGCACAAGTTTGAAAGTAATGGACCATTGGATGGCTGCAACCAAGCCCGTTAATCTTGGCCTCTGAGGGCCTGCGGGTGTCCAGGGTGTTTCTGGAGTTGGTGGTTGCCGGGTGCCGGAGTACGTCAGTCAGGCTCAAGGTGCGCTCGTGACTGGCACTCTGAACCCTTGCAGTAGACTACTGAAGACTGCCACAGCGCTTCTCCCTCAGCCTGGGCATGCAGCCTTGGCAGATCCATCTTTGCAGGTGCAGAAGGGTTCTCTGAAGATATCCGAAGACTTCGACTGAGCCTCGAAGAACTCTGTAGTTGCTGCTGTTCTTCTTGTTCGACTATCAACCAGACCAGATGCGCAATCTAAACCTCGCCAAAGGGAAACTCACTCCGCTCCGGCCTTGCAGTTGCCATGACCTGAGGGGCACGACATGTTTCAAGGCGGTGCAGGGTCTAGGCCGAGACCGAGGCCCTCAGTCTCGGGAGCTTCTGAAGTGCGGACATGTCAGAGCCAAATGAAACCTCTCGACATCTCCCGACATGCTTTCAGCATCTTCCTGTGCATAGATAAACCGTGCATGGTTGGCTTACCATCGGAAAGCTCGGACCAGGTGCTGTAAGCTTCCGACATCTAATTATTGGGCTACGCGCTAGACTCGCATCTTCAAGTCTTCCATGAGCACTGCAAAACAGTTTCGATCTGCTGTGGAAAAGGCTCCCTGAACAGGTCTCGGTCCGAAAACCGTTTAAAAGCAGATACTCTCGCACACACAGAACTCAGGCCCACGCGGAGTATGGTCCAGGTACTCGCGAAGAGGGTGCTTGCAGAGTACTTGAGATGCCGGGTCTTACCCTGTCAGCAGTTCGAGCCGGAACAGCAGCGCGAGCAGGACTCGAAATCAACCTGACTCGGCCAAAAGCCTTGTTATGGTCTTTGCCACGATACACAAAACTATGCTCTCAATCCCCAGACGTACTCCCAATGTCACAATAAGTTAACACTATCCGAGTCCAGAATTCGTAGTACTCGTGCCTTGTCGACTGCGAGGCGTGCAGCAGCACGACCCAAACGAATGCATAACTCACAACCTTCATCCAGGCCCTGAGATTTATGGTTCTTGATTGCTTCTGATGCTCACTTCGGCAGCGGGCGGGGCAACCTCTACCCTCAGGTTCAAGCTCTTCTCCGAAATCCTAAACATCGCTGTGAAGAGCAGCTTTGACATGTGCAAAAAGACCTTCGCACCTACAGAGAAAAAAAACAATCGTTTTGGTTTCGCTGCTCAGAGTGAAAGAAGAGGTGTTTACAGCACACACGGAGTCCGGTTCGGGGGGGTTCAGATCTCCAAGTCTAGGGGTTCCGGCTGGCATCGTCACCCACGTGTGCCGACTCACTGCAAGATCTGCAGTGCAGTCGATGGGCAGCGCCACGACCTGGGTGATCTTCCCACAGTCCCAGTACTTCGCCACGTGAAACATCGCTTGATCTACTTCTGGGTGCAAAAACTGCACGACCCAGCTTTGCCCTTTGCTATTGTTCAAAGGCAAGTCGGAACTTACCTTCGGAGGCAACCCGTCGGATGTCGCACCGAAAGCCCGCTTGTGCAATTCGGATACTTGGATTGGCAAGTACATTCCATGACATGTACAGTTACAGTAGCAAAACTGCACTGGACTGCACTTGTTTGAACCGATTTTGTTGGGATTCTGCCGTTATTCTGTGTGCTGACTGCACGAATCTCGACAAATCCTGAATGGAGAAGGCCCATTGAGAAGACCTCCTGCCAAAACATCTGTACCTCCCTCGAAAAAAAACCATCGCCATCCCCACTCGCCTTCTGAATGCGACACAAACTCTCATGCTGCAAGTTCGGGAATCGCTGAGATCCGAGCCGTCTGCGGATCCCGGCCATCTTTGCCCTCTGGCCTGAAGCTGAGGGGCTCTTGGCGGAATGTAGGCCTTGGGGGGTGTGGCTTCTTGAAGCTCTTTCTGCCATTTGGATTGTGGATTTTCGCTGCAGGCGGCTGCGAAGGCGAACGGCACAGAGCTTCAGATCCAGCATTCATGGATTGAAGGTTCAGGTCAAGACGTGTATACTCTGCACGTGGCACTCTTTGATCTGTGGAGCTACAAGATCATGAGTGGGAGCAGGCAGCTCTACAGCGCCAGGGTGCCAATATGCTAAGGCCCTCTTTGTATGCACTTCGTTTCTGACATCGCCAGGGTTCGGGGCCAACTGAGGGACATGCCACAGCGAGGACATAGGCCGACTGAACTTCTCCTCCACGACCGGCGCCTCGCAGAAAAGGCTTTGTTTAATATCCGGACATGGGGCTCAGTGCTTCATGCCTTCTAGTTTCTCAGCGTTTGTGTTGCAGAGTGGGTTCTAAAGCTCCCGGTGACAACGCAGGAGCCGAGACGACCGAGAGCCCTGAGCTCCCCCATAAACTTGCCCTAGGGTTCCCTTGGAGCTTCGAGGCCGCACATGATGAGACTTCAACGTGTGCTGATTCAGATGACGAGTATGTTGACGACGGACGCTTTCTGTTGTCATTGCTCTCACATCCAGCTGTTGACTCTTGCCCTGCTCGGTGCTGTTATGAGCACCAAGACTGTCACTACTTCTGTCGGTGGTGCTATTCGTGCTTGTTGTTGTTGTTGTTGTTGTTGTTGCTGTTGCTGCCACTGCTGCTCCTGCTGCCCTTGCCACTGCCACTTCTGCGATGCCTCCTTGCTGAGACGCATGTCAACTCAATGCTCTCGGTTTTTTAACTTGTAGCAACACCCAACCTTCAACGCTTGAGGGTCCCCGAAGGCTTTCGAGCTTCTGATTTGAAGCTTCATGCCCGTGGGTCTGCGCCTTCGGCGGCGGCAATCGCTCATCCTTCAGCCGGGTGTGGGTGATGGGAGCTTGGGTTCTTGAACGCGCAGGTGCTTTACTCAAGGTGCTGAGGTGGTTCGGGCGTGCAGGACTGCACGATAGGGTGCTTGCTCAGGCAACTAGGGTCCATGGTTGCTGAGGGGTGAAGTGAAAAGCTGAGTTGCACCCCAGTCCCGCTGATTCAAGCAATTCAAGGTGCGAGGTCGGCTGCAGGCTTCAAGAACTACCTGCCCTTGAGGCCTGTTTGTTTGTGGATTGACACCTGAAGGTATACAACTAGAAAGCTTGAAGTTGCAAACGTCAGTAGCAAACCCTGTCCTGCTTGTGCATCCGCCACTCCATCAGGTTCAGGTGGCAGAGCTTCTGCATTTTCTCCGTCGGGCTACCAGCCTCGGATCGGCGCAGATGATACGAGTCCAAGGCCCTTGAAACTGTTGCAATGCCCCCAAAGCTCGATGCCCCCACAGCCGAGAAACTCCAAACCTTGCTCGAGCAACAGTTGCTAGTGCTCAGACGCCTTGAGCAATGTTGAGCTTAGCCAGAACTCTGCCAAGACTGTAAAGCCCTGTTCAAGCCAGACTCACAGGACAGATCCACCGGGGGCTCAGCATGAGAAGACCACGGGCACAAGAGCTCAACATAAAAACCCGAGACCGATACAACTTCAGAGCATCGCAAAAGCTGCACCGAAGGGCCCTAGAAGTTCAGGGAAGAATGCCTTCACACCAAAAAGATGCAATGGCACCCCACGTGCAGCCCGGCGGTCGCGTTCCCAGAGCTGAGGGCTTCGGCCATGAGCAGCGGCTCCGGCTTGCCCGGCACGTAAATACAACTGAGGCCTCGTTGAGGCGTCAAACTCGGAGTTTGGGTTCGGGTTTCTGAAGTGGAACAAGTCTCAAAGGCCTCCACCTGCTGTCTCTGTGAACTCTGCATGCAAATTCGAGATGCGAGAGACAGAGAGATCGCAGGGGAGGGTGGGGAAGGTCGAGAGGGAAAGAAAACAACTGTCAGTCAGAGGCACACTATATGTTCCCGGGCAAGTGAGTCTTTGAAAGAAGAAAGACATGCAAAGGTAGCGATAAAGGCTTGGGTTTTCTACGAAACGTCTCTACCGGGCACTGCCCTATGGGACCATTTGCCCTTGAACCTTCGGCAATATCCTTGCACTCCACCAAGTGCCTAGCCACGCACGGTACTGCATTGACTTCCCAGAAACAACGACTTGTTCTTTGCAGCATGTGCTTCATGGACACTGGATGTTGTTTGTCAAGCGTGCCGTGCACAAGCCCAGCCCAAGCATGATGCCTAAACGCAAACCACACGGCCCCAAGCCCCGAGTAAACCTTCAAACCGATTCAAACGAATGCATTCATCCTCGACCAGTCTCCGAAGTGGACTTGGTGCCACGCGAGTATCGCCCGCAAACGGCAGAGAAGAGATCTGGGCACAGGCGGAGCTGAGTGGCTGCTTTGGGCGAAGTTCACGGGGCTTCAGAGTTCAAGGTGGTTTTGTGGTTTCGGGACTGATGTGGGCACGCCGGAGTGATGGCAATTTGTCATGACCCTTAAGCGCAATTGCGGTGCTCAGCCGTATGCCTATGGCTGAGCTCTTCGGATTTGGTCTAGGATGGTTATGGACATCCAGATTGAGAGCTTGGCGGCGTAAGAGGAACTTCCAGGAGCCTAGATTCCTGGACCTTCATGCTCCAGGCGTAGCCATGACCTTGGTGCCGGGGTCCCGGCCTGGTTCCAGGGCTTGTCCATGTCGGAGGGAACCTCGGCAATGACTTGGCTTGCAGGAAGTCTCGCCTTCATGAGCCCTTGGGCTGGGACCAAGCTTTGCGAGGGGGCATGGGTGTTGGCTTCTGAAGGCTGAGTTCCCCGAGAGTGTCGTGACACAAACGGTGCCGAAGAGATAAGTTGAGCTTTTGTGGGCGATCCACATAAACCTCTTCCGAGAGCCTGAAGCCTTTGGCAGCTGGGTTCCACCCATGCAATCATGAACACTCAACCCTACAGTAAGGCCCTGGGTCCTGCCTGGAAGACCTTCATCTCTCCGGCGTTTGCGTCAATTGCAAAAAGCGAAGCCTCCAATTTTGGGCAGGGCTCTGGGGGGTCGTGTCCATGTGAACTGCTGCTGCCTTGCTCTGCAGCTCCAACTTTCGTGGAGCCTTCTCCACTCGCAACCCACTTCAACTCATTGCATTGCTACAACACAACACCACGCCAAAGCTTAAGTCTCGCTCGGTTTGGCAATGTGATCTCCGGACAATCGGAAAGTATGTGGCTGCAGGGCCTCGGGTCGAGAGCTCTGAGTGTAGCACAGGAATCCCAAACGCCCAAGCCTGAAACCCTGAAGCCCTTTCGGCACCTCAAACTCTGTGGGGTTTGGCGACCTTGCTTTGGTGTACACCATGAGGAGCCGCACCTGATCCAGGAAGTCGCTACCACTCAGTTTGAGGAACGCCGAGGGTTGAAAGATTAGGGCCGATTAGGGTTCTCTTGAGATGCTACGTGTTGCGGCTCTTGAGTGAGACGTGTCCGCTGCAAGTCTCTGTGACTCGTGGACATGCTGGAGAACTGTGAGCCTCAAGTCGTCACCCGCACTCGGAACTCTATGCTTTTCTGCTCATTTTGTGCTGTGCTGTCATCCTCAGCTCAGGCAGCATGCACCAAAGTCTGTAAACGCCTGGTGCTGGGTCGCCGAAATAACTACGTCGTAACAACGTTTAATCTCTGTCGCGGATTCCTTTGAAAACAACCTTCATCCCCTGAGCTGCAACCTCCTGCAGCTAGCAAGGGCTGACACGAATGCACCACTTGCTTTTCTAAGGTCTGGCTGCCCTGGCCTGGATTTGGTTTTGGTGGAAACTGCAGGGTTACCGATCGTCGCGTTTTGCAGCAAACGATTGGCGAATTAAAAACTTACAAGGCTTTGTTCCGCGGCAAGCAATAAGAAAACTAGATAGGTGGCTTACCCGCCGCCTTGTTTTTTCACACTGCGCACCCCAATTTCTAATTTACAGCTCGATGTTAAGGGATTGGTTGATTTGGCCATGCCTTCAAAGAAGTTGACCTGTTCTGCAAACCAACGAGCTGCAGGGCCCCAACGTGTGATGAGGCTTCACACTGCTGTTGTTCTTCCGGTGGGGCCATGGATGCTCTGAAACCAGAACGGGTTCGACCATGGACGTCATCATGGGTGAAAAATGGGAACAAGAGTTGCAAAGAACCAAAAAATCAAACATGCAGAGATGAGAAACAGCCGACACATCGGCAAAACGTGGTGAAAACAGCAGCCCCAGAATCAAATCCCAGAAAACAAACTCCCGAAACTCGACTTTTGGACACGAAACGAGAAAAGCAAAACACTTGGTTCGACGTGAGAGACTTTCGGCCGGTGAACACTCTGCCTTTCAGCCGGTGTCATTTGAAGACTCTGCAATTTGCTCCAAACTGGCCACGAGCAAATGCGAACCGGGCAATTTTCGACAAATCCAACGCCTCCACCTCAAGCCCTGAAGCCTTGGATGGCAGGATTTGGCCTTGGGTGGCAGCGCCGGGCGTTCAGCACAGAGCCTCGGAGGTGTTAGTGCTTCTGTCATGGCTTCAGAATGAACACGTTGGGTTTTAGGTCCATTCATGGCTTCAGTCTAGTGCAGGTCGACTCGATCCTGAGCATGCCGAATCTTCTTGCATTGCGATTGTGACATCGCAACCGGAGAGCATCCTCAACCTGAACCCAAAGCAAACACTGACAACGTAAGGACCCCAACATGACATCGTAGCATTCCACTGAAACTACCCAGCTCTTCCAACTAATCCTTTTGCATCGTTGAAGTTCAACTATGAGCGAGTCTAGGTCCAGGTAAATGCCCCTCAAGATCACCGCATCTGAAAGACACTTATACGATCACATTCCAGGCTAGTTTCAGCTTAGCGATCACCTAGGAAAACAAAGGCCGGCACGCCCAGGCTTTCGCTGGGTCCGCAATCCGGAAAACCGAAGCTATCCGATCGCCCTCCTCCGCCTTGGGCCTCGGAAAGGCTGGAGACTCTCACGATCAGTGGAACTCTCCAGATCTTCTCAGAAGCACAAGGTGTGAGGAGTATGAAGCTTGTGTCCGCAGGCCCAACCTTCAAGGATGTTGTGAGTTACTTACGCGATTCGGGCTCTGGGCTTTTTGTTTGACTGATCCACCAATCATCCCGATACCGGACCCGAAAGGTCGATAATCAAATTGAAGCCCATCGTTCTAAACAACTGTAGGGCCCAGGTGGTTTAGTCGAGAGTCGAAAGCATCCACAATCACGAATGAAAACATCACCTGTAGCACCCTCGACTGCAGAATGTAGAATGTGTTGGAGCGAGGAACAGTCGACATCAGTAGGGGTCCGCACTCCACTGCCACGGCGTATGGAGTGCGATCCTCAGCGTTGCGCGGCCGGAAAGCCCCAACCCTGCAACACCAAAGTGAGGGTTTCAGCGGCCACGGAAAGACGGATAGCCAACAAGCAAGTGCCTTGGACTGTGGAGTTGTCAGGGGTGCCAGGTAGAAGCTTGGACTTTCGACAGGGATCTGAGGCAGGGCATTGCTGCACGGATCCTGTTGACATGGTGCCACATTGACCATACAAGTGGCTCGTCAAACTTCAGTCATGCATTCGGCGCCCCGACAGTGTAATAGACTCTTAATCGACATTGTCACATCGCCACTTGTGCTGCTATCGGCCAGATCAATCTTGTCTTTCGTTCGGGCAGGTCAAAGAGATGATGCTCGGTTGTCCTTACTCCCTTGCTCCGATGCTAAAGGGAGGGAGCTAGCGAGCACAAAGCCAATCGCGCACTTGTTGTGATTGCGAGCTGCAGGAACCGTTTGGTATGGCTGGCATCACACTGTGGACCAGGTCCCAGGGCAGGGCGCTTAGAAAGAATCAACGTATACTGTATACACCGAGCTCACAAGCATCTGTCGACAAACTCAGCCACAGCAAACCCACCGCCAGTATCTGGTGTAAAACCCACGACATAAAACCAAGCCATTTGTGGATGCAGGCCGTGGCTGCTGATGCTCATGTGCTCACTTTTGCGAGGTTCTGACCTGTTGATTTTGACGACGAGCTCATGGTGCTCGACTTTGAGAGCTGCTGTTGCTGTAGCGCTGTAGCTGATGCCGACAATGCTTGTGATGCTGATGACGCTGATGATGCAGATGATGCTGACGAAGCTCGCTTTGCGTGCTGCTAGCAGGTCCAAGGACGTGGCTGCTCATGCTCATGATGCTGGCTTCGTGGCGTCGGCATCTCTAAGCGCCGCGGCTGCTGATGCTGATGATCGTCGCTTGGCGGGGCTTGTGTGGCTAGACGACGTGGCCGCTGATGCTGGCTGGCTTTGCAAGCATCAGAACCTACGGAACCCCGAGCTCCCCCACCGGCGCGCACACGCCAAAATTGTACTTGCTTGGGCAGG